GGAACGTTAGTTATATGTGGCTGTATATGACCTTTCGATACAGAAAAGACATTCTCCGGGTCGAGCGCAGATGCAATGGGAGCGGTGTGCTTGATGTTTATCCCTGCAACCGAGGGAGAAGGCTCGTCATCTACGAAAAACTTGTCGAGACCTCGAGATTTCGAGTTGGACGGTGAAGAAGACGACGAAGACGAAGAAGAGGCAGAGGAAGAAAGAGGAGGCGAAGGAGACCTAGCCGCATTAGTGCGAATCGAAGCAGATGATAACGAATTCACGGCATCCTGCTTGTTCGGCCCTGAGGCTACAGTGCTCTGTCTCGGTTTCCTCCTCGGAAGGTTACTGATATGAGGCTGGATCGGTCCTTTGCCTGTGCTCTGAGGTTGATACATGGTGGATTGAAGGTAGGAGGGAAGCTTCTGTAGCCGAGGTGGTTGTGGAGAATTCATCAGCCGGTTCACGTTATTGGTTTTCTGAATCTGTCTAACAATGGGACCGGATTTGGAATATGGTCTGCCTGAGGATGGAGTGATTACCAGCGTAGACGAGGAGGCAGAAGCAGAATCGCAGAGGTCGAATTCCGGTCGAGTGGGATCTGTCATGTTATATATACAGATAGCCTGGACGATAAGAATATACTCGCGTATCAGAAGAGCTCGGAGTATGTAGAGAGAAAACGAAGATTACCAATGTATTTATTCAAGGCGAGAATTGATGAGGGTTCGAGGTTGGAGCAACCAATCTTACCAATGGTGACCGCGTTTCCTTCAGATGTTCTTCTTGCGTATCAGGGTCTCCAATGCGGTACTGCTCGATATCACACTCGAATGGCTGCAAAAGCGTGGATATCTTGTATGTTTGTCAAATGGGGGTGATAATTGGAATGAAGGCACGATTTTAGGTTATGTTTATCTCCAAAAACGAGGAGAAAACTCACCGAGTAAGCGTGTTTTGAAGTTTGACCTAGAGAGGCCTTGTGGTAAGTGGTGCAGAGCAAGCAGTCTTCAATCTTCTTCATGCAGTCACTGTTCAGTTCAAACGCGTCAACTTGGAAGCGCGGCTCCAATGAGGACTCTTCCATATTTGGTCCGGTCAAAGCGACATCTACTTCAAACTCGTGCATTGGGCGTGCAAAAAGGGCGAACGACGAAAAGCTTAATGCATTATACTTCAATATACATTATGATACAGACATGAGCAAAGCAAGGTTCAAATGATAGAGTACAGAATCCAAAAATGCGTAAATGCTTCCAAGAATATAAGAATCAAAACAACACAATACTCAAACTTTACAACTCAAATCTCTCCTCAACCTCAACCAACCCATCCGTCAGTTTACTTACCACAGCCCATTTGGGTAAATAAGTTAAGATCTCTTCAAGCGCAGGGATTTTCCCGCCTGATACGCGTTTCCCAGATGGCGATGGTAGGGGAGATGTTGACAAACCCATACCAACCATGCCACTCTCATATTCTACCCATTCGCATGCCACACGACCGGTGAATTTCTTGCTGTTTGCTGAGAGGGTTTGTTGAGCGATGACTGGATCGGAATCATCCCTCGCCAAGAGAGAAGACCTGTTTGACCACTGTAAATCCACGACAAACGTCTTTCCCCATTCACGCGTCCAGAGTCGCAACATCTCATAGTAGTCGGATTCGAACCCACGCTGAACCCTCCAACTCGCCTCACCATCATCGTCATGGCCATCTTTGTCCTGCTGGAGAAGGCTTTGCTGATCATCAACCGTCCGAACGCGAAACAGTTCAACCGGATGATCAAAATACAATCTACAAGCTCGATTGTTATTTGCAGAAATCGAGAAACGAGCTCCAGGGTTTCCTTTGTTGAAAGTCATCGAGGTAGCATGAGCCTCGAACCACGGATTGCTCGTAGATGCCCAATCCCAAGCTGAGCGATTTTTGAGGGCCGCTCCACCGGTAGTGAAGTGGGTGTTGTCTGCAGCGACAGGTACCATACTGAACGCCTCCGAAGAGTCAAGCGTCGAATGATGAGTCTCCCAAATACACTTCGACAGCCCAGTCTTTCTCTCGTCGATATTATTACCCGAACACCCGACCGGCCTTCCGTTAGCCAACGAGTGTAGATAAGACGGAATCGAAGGAAGGATGAGATCTTGAACGAACGGAGTAGCGCCTGTTAGAGTAGTCACGACCTTGACCGTTGCGTTTCCTTCGTTGCCCGAAGATGCCAGTTCAACTTTCTGCTGGAAAAACACCTTCAAAGGCGCATCTTCCGAAAACGGGAACAACCCGCCCTCGAAACCTTCGACGCCTCCAGACCAAGTACCAGACCAGGGGACCCATGCGAGTGCTGTGCATATGATCCACACAACGCCTAAGAGCCAGAATAGATATCGATGGACTCTTCGTGCTCCGATAAACGGGATCGTAGGAAGAGCAGCAACTAGGGAGAGGAGGGATATTATAGCGTAGACCGTCACGGCGGGACTACCGTCGATCATCGTCTGGTTCACGGATGGAATGAGGAAGAGAGCCATATGAGAAACGAGGATCAACGGGAAAGGAACGTAGATGAGTAGAACCAATATCCACAGAACGTATGGCTGTGGATTCTCCACCGGGTCTACACCTTCTTTCGATTTATTTTTCACGATACGATGTTTCCGGCCAACAAGCGGGGTCCGCTCGTTGACCTCCGTCTCGTCCTCTTGTTCGTGTTCGACCGCTCCGCTGTCAGGATCAGAGACTTGCACAACCTTGAGCTCTGCAGTCTCCGCAACCCCGAAACAGCCCGCCACACCGCAAATGACGGCAGAAAGCCAGGTGAGACCGTTGCAGGCGCTTGCCACGTACAAAACACCACCCATCTGATATTGTGTGATACCTATGGTAGACAGTAGCACCAAAAGCCATGAGAGGATATAGCTGTGGATGAGGAGTGTGCGGAAAGATTCCCATGCAGGGACGTTTGTTGTGATCGGTGCCCTGGAAAGTATGAGGTTCTGGGTAGCATTGTGAATGAAAGGAGGCGATAGAATTAGGGCCAGTACGAGGATTGAAAGTGTGAACGAAGACAGGATGGGTATAGAAGGGAACCGATAAACGATCTGTGCGGAATATCGTCAATAAGGCGCCTACAATTCATAAAGAAACATACGAATGGATTGAGGTGGACAAAGCCAGCTGCTGACGCAATCTGGGCTCCGATAGCAACAACCAGAGCAATCCAAAACCGTCCATGCTTCCACAGGATACGAGAAGATAGACTCAATCTGCGCTTCGCTTTCACCCAACCACTATCGTTTTCGTGTTGCTCGTGATAGTCAGAAGAAGCCTCTTCCACAATCGTACTGCCCGGAGAGAGAACTGGTGGAGCTGCGGTATCTGTCTCGAGTTCTGAAGGATTCACTACGCTCGGTGAGAATGTCGCTCGCTGTCTCTTGATAGCCCGGGAGCGAGCTAGTGCGGATTCGGAAACGGCTAAAAGTATGAGAGAGATGGGACCGACAATTAGAGCGGTAATATTGAATGTGAGGAGGTTAGTGAGTCGGAAGAGGACGAGGACGGAATTGAACACTGAGAACAATTTTCAGAACAAAGGCATCGCATTTGTGACGAACAGGAAACGTACATTCGAAGAATACAGCTTTTTCTTTCACCTCAGTTGACCCATTATGATCATTGGCAAGAGCGATTCCAGCATTCAATGAAGGTTGCAACATGGCCCACAGTGCTTTGTCTCCTCCCTCTGTGAACGAGATAGCATCATACTTTGTATGATACTTGGACCGCCCGCGATAAAAGGCAAAGTCCAAGCCTCGTAAAGGACCGAACTTGGTCGAATCTGATGGATTGGGTGCGGCAAATCGATTGGTGTAGACAGAGTAGTCTGTTCCGCTGCGTATGAGGCCGAGTTCGAATGCTTCGGCAGAGATTATGTTGGCATGAGGAGTATCCACTTGTTTCCAGCCTCTGACAACCCCAAAGTCGGTAGCACGGAAGAGTAAGGGACGACCCCCGCTGCCTGCACCCTCGACATTGAGAAAGCTAGATCCGTACAAGTTTGTGAACTCGGGATGAGAGGTATTCTTGATCCAAGGATGCTCCAGGAGAATATGAGCACCGTTAAGACCATCTTCCTCGCCATTGTTTATGTTGAAGAGGATAGTCCGGTGAGGTAGATGCGTGGAGAAATACCGAACGAGCTGTAGCAAGGTGACAACACCCATGCCATTGTCGGTTGCGCCCGACGCGGTGGATACACAATCAAAATGTGCAGAGAAGAGGACCGCCGGAAGAGGAGAATTGGAAGTCGAGTTGGCAGTCCCGCGGATCTTGACAAGGATGTTGTTTCCTTCAAAGTAGTTACCAGAGCGAGAACCAGAACCACCAAAGCCGCCTGCCCAAGTACCAGAAGTGGTCACATCATCGTCAATGATGAATTGGTCGCCTAAACCTGATTGGAGCCGAATGTCTTCTAGTTTGTGAAGAAGATATTCGCGAACGAGGTCATTGGCATGCGAGTGATAAGGATGTGGACGTGTAGTGATAATATGAAGATCGTCAAAGGCTTCCGTTACGTTGATATTTCCATACTGTGAGTGTAGTTGAGATGGAGGAGGAACTGGAGCTAGTTGGTCGGTAATGAATGTTGAGAGGGCGACTGCAAGGTAAGCAAAAACAAGGAGAGTTGTAACAGGAGCTGTGAGGAAACCTGTTGTACGAGCAAATGCAATCCGAAGTGTTGTGGTGAGATGCATGCAGCGGAAAGAAACGCGTCTACCGCTGAGGAGTAGGCTGGAGTAGATGGAAGAGTGACGTCGAGATTCGGCCCGACTCAGAGAACTTCCATTTTGGGAGATGTTATGGAAAAAACCCAGACTTTTCGGCAAAATTATCATCTGAAACCTTGCCAAAACGAGACATTTCCTCAATATTCCTCCAAATTTCTCCGAATTTTTTTTAAAATGCAGAGTCCGCCTCGACGATTCCATTATTTTCAAGGCAGATTTGAACAAGCCCGCTTAGCTCAGTGGTAGAGCATTGTACTTATGAGGCACCCCTATTACCTAAGCAAAAGATGCAAGGGTCGGCAGTTCGATCCTGCCAGTGGGCAAATTTTTTCTTCGTTGCGGAGAGTGCAAAAGATTCTCTTGTTACTTTGTGGAAAAAAGTTTGCATCGTCCGTCCGAAATGTCAAAAATGTCAAAAGTTTCGATCGATGTCTCGGATGGAGGGATCGGGAAGCAATGTTTCAGAACGGGGCGATTCAACTACCAACTTGCTCAAGCCCCGATGAGGCTCGATCGGAGAAGTTCACAGTCCATGATGTCACTGTCTTACATTGAATGGTTCTATGACTTAGTTCGTACAACTCCTCCCGACATGTTCTACAATATTCCAGGCTTCCAGTGAACGATGAGGATCATCAGAATACACAGGCACTAAGGCAGACTCCTTCCCATTCCCTCTTGCAGGTTAAAAAATGCTGAGATCGAGTCAGATATTACCTTATATAGCTTATCTTATATCTTATCTCTTATATCTTATCTCTTATCTTAATTATATAAGCATTGGCATTTTTTAACCTCGCTTGATTTTTTAACCTGCAAGAGGGAATGGGAAGGAGTCTGGCACTAAGGCCAACCTTGGGAGATTAACTATCGTTCCCCTCTTGTGTCGTAAGTATGTCTGTATGATTAGCTGTTCGATTCTGCGTGAATACGGCACAAGAGTAAGCAACGCTATTCAGAGTCGTGTCAAGAAAGAACGAAACAGGTTTTCACTCACCGTCCTTTCACAAGAAACGTTACGCCTTGATTGAAGAAACCCTTCAAAATCTGCATTTCGAGTCCTTGATACAAGCCCTTGAAGCCAGCTATACTCCTGTCGTCTGTTGTCCGATCCCTGTCTTCACGGTATCTCCCTTTGTATGCGTCGAGCAGGGTAGTCCTCAACGTTGGAGCTGAAGACGGAGAATACGGCCGATTCGAAGACACGGAATGCGGGGATCGATGGAAAGCTTGAAGACGCGTCTTGGAGAGGATGAGAGGGTATAACAGCGTCACGGCTACCAGACATCCATCAGAGGGATTCACAAGCAAAGGAAGCGCATACTCACCTATCGAGTTCGATAATGCCCCACCAAAGAATGCTTGACTAGGCGTTGGATCTAGCACGACTGGGCCAGCCGAGGACGGAGTTCGTTTTGATAGTGCCAGTACTCGCCGAAAGAGCTGGAAGAAGGCCAGCGTGATGGATGGATTGAGCGAAAGGAGTATGGTCGTGTTGAATCCTGCGAATCATTACAAAAATGAGACATAGAAACACGTCAAAAGGTGTTCTCAAGGGCTTACCGCGCCAAAACCCCCGTAGACCTTGCTCTTCGTAGATACTCTTGAAAGCACGAAGGATCACGTTGCGGTTGCTACTCAAGTTCCCGCTGGGATCTTCCTCTGGTTCGTGCCGCCCCGTTTGGAGACGGAGGGTGATCATCGATAGCGGCATCGAGACAGCTCGTGAGGCAACGCCAGAAAGGAAACCTAACACCAGGTCTTGCCATATGGCTAGTTTTACAGAAGAGAGTGGTTTCGGGGATGTTTTCCCTATGAACACAGTGCTTGACTGAGACCGAGTGAGGCGTTTGATGAGAAGTTTGCGTAGGAAGGAGTATATGTAAAAGTAAAAGAAACTATTGTAGAGGATCTTGTCGATGAGCAAGCAGTGATAACGAAAAGGACGAGTCTCTTACTTTGAGATTAGCGTACTTGCTGTGTCGGTCAGCAGACCGTCATAGAGTGCCCCAACGCCATCTGTGTTCACAATGGAGCGTAATATTCTGATCGCTTTCAGGTGGATGAATCGGTTTGCGTCCTTGACTTCAGACGAAAGGTCCGGCCTGAGTGGGCCCTCGACCTCCTGTTGTTTCTGCTTGCCCTTATCCTGTTCACATCGTTGGGTATCGGTTTGAAGACGTGTATTTTCAGTGGGTGAAGCCAACTGGACTCGGGTAGTCACTAGATCCAATGGATACGTCAGGGTGTTGGCCGACGCGCTGCCTATGGCGCCTGATATGGCTTGGATGAGTGGAGGAAGAGTTGAAGTCATGGTGTTGAGTAGGGTCGTCGAAAGCAGCTCTTCGATTCGCAACTTGATAGTAATGGAAAGAGAGAAAGGAACGCCGAGGAACTAACGTTGTTCGAAAGATCTCTAGCTACGTCATTGACTCAGAAGACCGTATGGGCTCGTATGGGTTGTTTGGTATGATTTGCTTCGCCCTTTACTTTCTTCTTCCACGACTCTGACCAGCACTGTCTATTATCCACCTCGCCACCGATGCTCTCAAAACGCCTTTGACTTCAATAATATCGAAACTGCCTGTTAGAATAAAGATAGTTATCTGATTCACCAACGGCATAGTTGGAACTTGGTCAAGACTCGAGAGTCGATACGAAGATGGTTCAACCGCCGGAAGGCATTACATTGGAGATGTATTGAGGGAGTTCGGAAAAGCTGGAGAGGCTGGAGAGTCTAGTAGGCTAAGGAAGATACTCATTCGTTGGCTGGCAGTTGCCAAGTTGCCAAGTGAGTGCTATGTATCACCTCGTATCACTAGTGGGTAATCTGCTATTTCGTTATCTTCAACAACCCGATGGATATTGATTTTTGTCGTTGATAAAGACTTTCACTAGTCGTCTTTAAACTAGTTCAATCTATTGGCCCATAAATCTGGAGTCTGGAATGAGTGTTTCGCTCAAGCTTGGCGCCTCAAAGAAGCGAAAGATGAAACCAAGTGTTCCATCGGCTTCGCTCACAGTGATCAGTATCAGGACCCCGGAAAGCCACCTATGAACTCGTTTCCCTGTCCCGGAAAATTTTTGAGATTTTGGGCTCTAGGAATGGTCAGTTACACGGAAAATTTGGCGATTTTGGGAAGGACGATTGATCATTTTGACCCGGAAATTTGACCATTTTGAACCAGGTTTGACCATGACCCGGAAAATTTTGCCCTATATGGGAGCCTGGTCCAGCCTCCAGGTGGACCAGGCGGAGAAAATTTTCCATATTAGGAAGTTTTTTCACAAAATTGATCCACCTTTGAGTGATGTCCCGGAAATTTTTGACCCTTTGGGAGGTCTGAGGATCTGTCCCGGAAATTTTAGGTCAAAAAGTGACCCGGAAATTTTGGCACTTCCGGAAACGACCTCGTAGGGGGTTTTCCGGGGTCCTTCAGTATCCTATGCAATTATCAACGCCTCCCGCTATCAGCAATCAATGGTGTATCGCTGTATCACGCAGAAAAGAACGCATATAGCATAGCAAAACAGCGTATCTGACCCACTGTAGGTCTACGATAAGAATACACGCTGTGCTACATTTTGAATGTGCCATAGCCTTTCCATAATCTCGGTGCATCGCTCTTCGTACATCCAAGGCCAGATGAAATGCTCCTCCCATCTTCGGCTGATACTGTGACACGGAGAGTTGTGTTCTAGTCCCGGATCTGCTGGTTCTTGTAGGCGAGCCGCGCATATATCCTTTGCCAGATTTTCTTCCGTAGGAGAGGCGTTAGGAGCTTGTAGGTGACATTCATCTATTGACTGAAAATTCGAAACAAATGATTTTAGATGATCCATCGGAGAAGAGCGAAGAAGGTCGGGAGAATAGAGCACGGAAGAACATGGAGAAGAGCCAAGGGCTGGGGATTTCGAATGTGGTTCTTACAGGACGCTGGAGGACGCTGGATACGTCACGAGGTAGAAGCTGGTAGCAGATGCCAGATATCGGGACTTGAGTGCATTTTCGTGCACAGGTCTAGGTACTGATCAAGGCGTTATATTCACTATCGGTGTGGTATTCAATCGGAAGGAAATATGGGTATCATTGCTGATGTTGTTTCAAGAAATGAATGCAGTCGGGAAGGTAGAGTTGCAACAATTCTTTCGACTACACAGGAGCGGAACTTGGATGGTGATATGACCATCATTGCACGGATGAATCAGCGCCGCCGAGCGTTTCCTCTCCGTGGCTATATAAGGGGGGACAGAGTTGACGAAGTCTCCAGCAGTTACACCTCTCAGGCTGGTCCTATTCGTGTACCTCCACAAGTCTAACAAGCATCACAATCTTCGAAGAACCTTACGAACTCTGTAAGCTTTAGCTTTCCTTCAGGATGTAGACCATGTCTGACGGTTATAACTCACAGTACACCCCCAAGCCAAACGAAAAACAATGTCTCTCTCCCTTGGGTTGAACACTGTACCTTTCCCATCCGAGGTCATCTCACCTCTAGTGATGCGACCGAGTCCACTCCATCGACGACGGGGCGTCGACCTAGGCATGCCTCTACAGATGCCAACTCCGACCCAGTTTGGGTATGGCTATGCTGTCGGAAACGCGGAGGCTGCCACTGCGGCAGCAGCAGTGTTTCCCGCCGATACCAACAACAAACCTTCGAGCGCTATCAACAATCCTAGAACTGGTCGAGTAGGATATAGCTCTGGCCTGTTCGGGTCGGCTAACACGAGCACGTTTTGGTCTCCTGCGTCTGCGGTCGTTGGGACGAAGGGACCGTTGCAACCTCATATTTCGAATTTACCACGGAGAAAACCTACGATGAGGAGAAGGGAGTGAAAGTATGAGGATTGTTGTATGTAGAAAGTAGTACTTGAGTCTTGTAGTATCAATGAACCTGGTGTCAGTGAATTTTGATTGGTTGATTCAAGCCACGTGGTGTTGCGGGCCGACCTGGTCCGTGCACGAATTGATGGTGAGAGAATTGGAATTGTGGCATTTCGTACTTTTACCAGAGACGTTTTGTTCGTTTTTCTGGATATTTTATCTATCGCACTTCTTTTCTTGTGCGTGTCTTTTCACCTCCACACTCTTTTGCCTCTCCATATCCTCTCCACGCTCCCTACTAAAATTACTTACCTTTTTTTCTGACTTTTCTGCCTTTGCCCTCCTTACATTGTCCTCCTTGTCCCTCTTACTCTCTTTATCCCAACCATGGACGAATCCCAGACAGCTTTTGCTTCTCAATATCCTTCTTACGGCTTTGATCTCGACATGATGAAGGTACACTCATTCCAGCTTCTTCTGCTCAATTTTTTCGTG